TTTTTTTGGTGCATTATTGCTATTGGAAGGTGCTGCAGCAATTAATTTTCTTTGTTGTGCTAATAAACCTTCAAGATGATCAGCACGTTTAACTGCAGCTTCGAATTGACCACGTAATGCTTGTACTTGTTCATCTTTTTTACTAATTGCCTGTTTAATTCTTAAGAAAAAATAAAGAAATTTATTGAAAAAAATTAAATATAAATCATTGATTTACTTTTCATGTACAGTTTCTAATTCATTTTCTTTTTCTCGTTGTAATAATTCAATTTCTTCTTTTTTCCTATCTAATTCTAATTGTTGTCTTGAACGTAATTCTGCCATATCACCTTTAATACGACGATTTTCTTCTTCAGTTAATACAAGTCGATCAGCAAATTCTTGTCGAATTATATCTGATAAACGTTCGCGTTCCTTTTGTAATGTATCGGTGATCTAATAAAAATATCATAGAGACAAAGTCATAGAATCTTTTGTTTTTGCGAGTTGAAGCAATTGCTAAGAATAACGCATAGAAGATGTATTAAAAATAAAGAGATCAGTAAATTTCATAGGTATGAATAGAGATGAACATGAAACTAAGTAAAAGAACACTCAATTACTATGATTTGTAGGTAAATCTTTTTTCTTCAAAGCAAAACTATCGCATCTTTTGTGTAGTTTTTTCTAGCCTAAGAAAACAAACACAAGTTTGCGACCGGGATTAATCTCAATCTCGGATGCGTTGTAATCACGGTCTAATTTAGGCATCCATAATCTAATAGTTTTTGGAAAAGTCTTATTTTATAGAGAAAATATTTCTTATCAAAGTTTGGTAGCTGAATTGTTCGTTCTTCAGCAATATTTGATTCAACAATCGGCAGCACAAAGTTTCATGCGTATCTGCTAAGATGAACTAGCATCATGATAAAGATTCTTTTAGATTGACGTATCGGACATGACATCGGTTTGGTTCAATTCCAGAAACACGAAGCAACTTCATCGCTATAATGCATATATATATTCCATTAGTGGACAGAAATAAGTTATTAAAAGTTTGATTATGGTGCATGTAGTGGTAGGATTTAACTTCCTTCCGAAATATTGTTCGATTTTTCTCAATAGAAAACATCGAAAAATGAGCTAAGACGACCTCTAATGGACTTCAAAAATACGTTTTGTAATCATGATCATCTCCTATCCACAAATCCTAGGTTTCACCACTGTATGCATGATTTCTTTTTCTTTGGAAACAATACATTTCTTTCTTGACGGTTCTCTGCTTAGTAATACTAACGGGTGGTCCGAAAGTTTCCACACAAAATGTTTCTTCCTTTTTCGACCGATTAAGTATGTCAGTAGAAACTTTCGAACAAAGGGTTAGATTCAGAATTTATGCTTCGAATTTTTGTAGGACTCATAGTTTAGGAGTTATGAGCGAATCTTTGGAAGGCTTAAAAATAAAGTTTGGACAGGTTTCAGTGCACAAAAAAACGTCCAAAGTAAACGTAAAATTTATTTCAGATACCCCCAAAGAAAGAGTAAACATTTCTCTGAGTAATGAGAGTTTTAGTAAGAGACACAAAGACGTTTTCGAAATTCCCTGGTTTCTAGACTGTCAAAAAGAGCTTGATTATTTCTGAAAAAATGCTGCGAGATGCTCAGTTCTGAGCTCACTTTCTAAAGACCGGACTCGCCCTTGACGCTGTGTAAAAAATTGATAATAGAAGAAATTCAATAAGGGATATTATTGTTGAGAAGGACATATGTGGTCAAGATGCTGATCCAAAAAATTTCAAAACGATATGTAATCAAGGAAGAGGAACTTGCACTAAGCTGAATTGGATGTCTTTACGACGGAAATAAGATAGTGTCGAGAAAGTTTGGTGAAAAAGAGTAGAAAATCAATTCCAAAAGACATACGATCACATTTTGGTTCTTTGGATCTGTTAATTCAACTGCTCCCGTCCAAACTTTATTTTTGAACCTTCCAAAGATTCGCTCATAACTTCTAAACTATGGGTCGAAAAATGAAGAAACATTTTGTGCGGAAACTTCCAGACCACCCGTTACTACTCAATAAGAACTTTGGTTCGCTCAAAAAAAAAATCCCAGGAAATCTCTCTGAAGATGATGGTGAGCTGAATGGAATCTTCCCTTAGAAAAAGTCAATTTTAGTTAAATTTATCGATTTTATGATGCAAAATGTCTACTCTCGAATGCACTATAGTTTATTGATTTTCTAATGAGATTTAAGAATATTACATAGATTTTTCTGTAATGTTATTTTTTTTCTAAAAACTTTGATTTTAAAACTCTTTCAAGCTTCTCAATTGGCTTTGGACAATGATGGATATAGCTATGATGCATTGCTAAGTATGATAAATGAATACAACACTCGAACAAAATAGGTCGATGATTATTACTTTTTTGATATCATTAATTTCTGTTTCTTTTTGTTTAACTATAACTTGTAATCGTTCATTTTCACCTAGAAATAAAAATAAATAATTAATGAAAGAATTCCAAAAGAATTTTTATTTTTGTTTTACCTTCAACTTCTGTTATTTGTGATTTCATTTGATTATATCTTTCTTTAATTTGTTTTTCTGAATGTTCAAGTTCACGAAATTCAGCTTCATATTTATCTCGAATACGTCTAAAGATTTTAAAAGAAATTTTGTATTTAAAAAGAAATTTTTTGATTTTACTTGACACGATTTTCTGCTGTACGTTCAGCTTCTTCTTTTGTCATTGTTGTATCTGATTCAAATTGTGAAATAATTTTTTCTATTTCTTTATCACGTTCACGTCTCATTTGTTCACGTAATTCACGTTCTTTACTAGTTAAAAATGTTTCTTGTTTTTTCATATAATTTTCTTCCCAACTTTGTTTTTCTAATAATAATTTTTCTTTTAATTCATTTATTTCATTTGTATGTCGTCGTTCTTGTTCTAAACGTATTGCTTCATATTCACGTTTAGCAGCATCAACAGCTGTACGATGATTTTCTTCAATATCACGTCGAAGTCTATATAATATATATATATCAAATAAATTGAATTTACAAGAGAGAGAATTTTATTTACTTATCAAGATCAGCACGTTGTTTTGTTACTAATTCAGCTTGTCGATTTTTTTCATCTTCAATTTCAGTATAAAGTCGACGACGTTGTTCTGTAAATGATTTTTCTTCATCACGTATAGATTTTTCATATTTTTCACGTGCTAAATCTCGTTCACGTGCAATAGCTGATTCTTTTTCACGTTCTAATTGATCACGTAAATCTTCTGTCATACGAACATAACGTTGTGCAGCACGTTCATCAGCTGCTAATAATTCAGCTTCATGAATTGTTTTCATTTTAGTTAATTCTGTTTTATGTTTACTAATTAATTTTTGTATTTCAGGTTCTAAACCACGTACAGTTAATTCTTTTATTTTTTTTGTTTTTTCATCAATCCAACGTTCACGTCGTAATTTTTCAGCAGCTTCATGAACATCTTTTAATTTTTGTAATTCTATTCGATGAGATTCATCCATATTTTTTAAACGATCACTTGATTTTTTATCTATAGTTTTTAATTCATCAACAAGACGTTCACATCGTTCGGATAATTTTTTTTTATCATCAATTAACTAAAAAGAAAATAATAATAACAATAATAATAAATTTAGTCAGCAACTTCCAGGATTTTATCATCAAACGAAAGTAACAAGGTTGGTATGGTGTTTTTTTTGTATTCAATAACTAGTGCATCCTACACATTTCTCAGACGACAAGAGTCTGTCGGGATTAGGGAG